CATTCTGTGAGCATTTATTTGCTTCCTCCATTTTCATAGCTGAAGGCTTAAAATGAATTTAACCTTGAAAACAGCCATTAGAGCTAAGTGAATCAGTTCAGTTCAACAAACAAGATGTACAAATCACTAAATGTCAAAAATCAGGGAGATGTTGACCAGCTATTTGTTCTGCTTCCTGGTAAGTTAACTAGCAATGTTCCCTGTTTAAAACCCAGGACAAATAATGATTATAACCATAACATCTACCCTGGCCCTGAGATTCATTCTGCACATATAAAATTTAGCTTTATTAGCTATTAGCAAGAAGCCTCCTGTACCACGCTCTATTTGTCTTAATGAATAAAGGCAATCAGAATCTAAACAACTCAGAAAAATTACGTAGAAAGCAAAGATTTAGTTTGCTACCAAAACTAATGAATGATTTAGATGTTATAGTCTTTCTGTAGGAAATGAATAAAATATAAAAAACAAACAAAAATGACCAGGAACTGATAATGATCCTGCTAGTATGCAAAGTCATGCCAGTGTCATCTAAATTGATATACAAGCACAGAAAAGGAATAAAAATTATTCAGAAAAAAAGTGCAGATGCCAAGGGGAGAGATGTGACTAGATGATAAATTGAAAGGGATATATGTTCCCATTTTTTCTCGTAGGTAATGTGTGAATCCCAGAAAAAGAACAGTATGCTTATTTGATGGTCTTGCCTCACAGACCTTAAACTAACTATTAAGTGAAGACATAGACATGGCCAACCTTTGGCTAAACTGTGAAGGCTTTGTAATTTGTTTTTACTTTCTTCCTTCCTTCTTATTCTTGCCTTCTGTTGCAACCTTCTCCTTGCAGCAAGGAGAAGCCTATCCGAAGACCCCTAATACGCTCTCACCAAAACCAGAAATATTGCTTGGCCTTCATCAGGATGTACATTTATCGCTTCAGAATCTGATAATGTCTGGAAGTTGGAAGTCATTTTTGGATCCAAGGTTAAAGAGTAAACCTAAGAGTTTCTATATTTGAAAAGAGTAAATTTGTCAGTGGGAAATAGAGAAAATCTAAAGATTTACACGCCAGTAATTGAAATGGGGTGAGGGTTGAAGAGTGTCTTGGAGATAGAAGGTCTGGTTTAACAAGGCAGCGCTCTAGAAGTGAGTGTGGATGCCATTTCTATGAGGGAGGGTTTGAGCATCTCTCTCAGTTTAGTTCCTTTTATGTCAAACTAAGGAAGGTATTTTAGAGATCCTCTAGCCCTGTGGGTTTTCATACTTTTCTCTGTGGACAGAAACCTAGAATTTCAAGGTTGTTCCTTAGGGATCATTTTGAATGCTGAGAAATAGAGAGACCATATGAGTGGAGCTCCAAGAGGTCCACCCGTGCTTCAGGAACTTTGATCCACCTAAAAAATGTTTTTAGTATATTGACAACCCTAATAGGGTTTATTTTGAACAAAACGTTGATACTTATTCCTGCCAAAAAACTTGAATCTGAATTTAATCAAGATTCTAAATCACGTTAAAAGAAACCCTAAGGATACTACTAGTCAAATTTAGAGTGTGGAAATTCTGTGACAAAAGAAGACAGATTATTCAACAAAATATATGGCATTAAAATGGGAAAGAGAGATGTTAGAGATGAAAAGAGACTTAAAGAGACATTGCAACCAAATGCAATGTATGGCCCTTGTTTGGATCCTGATTTGAATAAGCCAATAAATCTTGAGGTAAAGAGGAAAATTGCACAGACTGAACACTGTAAAATATTACGGAATTGTTTTTTTTTAGGTTTTGATAATGATATTGTCGTTTTGTTTAAAAAGAAGTTATTGTCGGTTAAATATCCACACCTGAAGTAATTTTGGTTAAATAATACGATGTTTGGGTTTTGCTTTAAAATACTTGAGTAAAGAAACTCCGGAAAAATAGATGAAATAAGAATGGTAGAATAATGACAATCACAGAAGTTGGGTTGTGGTACATGAGTGTTCATCATGCTATTGTGTTGAATTTGTGTGTGTTTGAAAGTTTCCATAACAAAAAATAGTGAAAGTACCATTGTGCAAAAAACAGATCCAAGGGGCTGGCCTGGTGGCACAGCGGTTAAATTTGTGCTCTGCTTTGGTGGCCCACGGTTCACAGCTTTGAATCTGGGGTGTGGACCCATGCATCGCTTATCAAGCCATGCCGTGGCAGGCGTCCCACATAAAAAATAGAGGAAGATGGGCATGGACATTAGCTCAGGGCCAATCTTCCTCAGCAAAAAGAGGATTGGTGGCAGATGTTAGCTCAGGGCTAATCTTCCTCGAAGAAAGAAAAGAAAAGAAACAGATCGAAGGATTCTGTAGTCAGTTCACAGAAAAACATGTTAGTTTTGTTACTCTAGTACTTTGATTTTAGACATCTGCAAAAAACAAATATTGTAGAATTCAAATGTATGTTTTGAAAGAGCTTGCTTCGTTTTCTTATTTCTTTTTAACTATAAATTTGAAATGTGCTTCCATCACAGTTTCTAAGTTTACTACTTGTACTACTTGCAGTACCACTTATTATTTCAATTTACTTCAATGTATAAACAAGAATAATGTGGCAGTATGTAAAATAAAATAGCTCTTTTTATTTAAACCAACTAACAATTGAATTTTTAAAAAAGAATAAAAAGATATGACAATGTTGAACTTTTTCTGAGCCCTGTGCTCCCACCCTTGTGTGTTCTGAGAAATGGCTGACTTGAAAGTACCACTCCGCCCTCACATAAGATAAGACTCACTTCCACTCTTCCTCAGTGACTCAGATGGGACCCATCTCCATCCTTTTTCATGAATCCCATGACTCACTGATGACTCTCTCGTTTACCTGCCTCTGTAAAACTGCAGGCCCTCCCCCCATTTTTTTTCTCATTAATGAGCATCCTCCTTGTTGCAATAACCTGAGTAAACTCATTTCCTTAGTTGTTCTATGAACTTTGTCCTCACAGGGTCCCCACATGTTTGATAGATCTCCATTATCCTGGGCTCTCTAGCTATTTGCACGTTAGTTCTGGTTATCATCAGCCACAAGAAAGGATGGAAAGAAAGCCCTCTTTATCACCCTATCAGCAGCAATAGCGTAAAAAGTGTCCAGGTCCTTTTCCCTTTTCCCCAGACCCATACACCGCTGGTAAATTATGACGGATCAGACTTGTTCAAGCAAATTAAGCCAACAGTGTGAAATGCTTCTACTCAGAGATTAAGGATCATTATCTCTGATTTAAAACAAATTGCCTACAACATGGTACAAATTTTAAAGACCTTTTCTTTTACTGTAGCTGAGGTTTAATTTTAAAGAGGTTACTGTTTTGATGGGCAAAAGTTGACCCACAAGCAGGGTTCTAAAGCCATGCTGATTTCTTTAGTTTTTTTTGGTTGACTAATGGAGCTTTTACAAAATTCCTAGAGAAGTAAGATTTAGAATTACATACATGGCCCATATTTACCTGACCCTCTTTCCATGTCACTTGTTAATTCCATTATTCCTCACTGCAGTAGGCCCCAAAAGTCCAAAACTGCATTTGTTGAGTGATTTACTTGAGAAAGATTTCTCTTCATATGGTAGGGTTGCCTTCACTGGCATTATTTCCCATTCTAATTGCCTTTCTACATTATTGGAATGATACGAACTTGTATGAATATGTTTCTATTTTAATCAGCTATCTACATAAGCTTTTGCTTCCAAGTACTAAGTACACAGTGTTTAAATCTTTTGTTCCCATGAGGTGAAATGCTATGCATTGGTCGTAGATTTTCATTATTAAATTCTTTTCATTTGCATTGCTACACAGATTAACTTCAGACTTCAAAGGATAACTTTTTTGGACCAATCTTTTGGATTTGTAACAATGTGTAAGGGAAAGGCATTTTGACTTTTTTCTCATCAACGTAAACCTAGAACTGGTTAGCCTCCTGTCACCTTAGGTCCTTACTGTTTTTAGCTGAGGCTAAACTGATCGAATACATCTTTTTTTTTTTTTTTTTTTTAATTACCAGTGACTTCTAGACTGTGCTTCAGGAAGATCTTAAATAGCACTGTCTTGGACATGACATGCTCTTTCTTGAGGAGATCCTCCCCGAAGACTCAGACCCTTAGAAAGAGCTCACACCTTTGACAACCCCAGCAAATTACCTCAGTCTGACCAGAACTATGGCCAAATCCTATTTTGTTCTAATTTAGACTTTATTCATATCTTTCTCCTCCCACTGGAATTGTCAGTCCTCACTGATTTGCCACTGCATCTGACAGTGCATGGAAACCCCAGGTTTGCTAACCCCAGTTGACACTATACTTTGTGTTCCTAGCCCAGATTCACCACACCCTGCCATTTATTTTTCAGTCTAATTTGAACCCAGTGGTTCATTCTCTCTGGCAGCCTTGTCCCTCACTCCTGGAACCTTGTCAAGTGACAGAGAAGCTCACCTGAAGTATCTTCCATCTGGATTTCTCCCTGCTTCTTCCTGGTTCCCTTCAGTGTCTCTATACCTGGGAGCTTCACACTTCTGGGTTTTGTGCCTTACTTCTGGATTTTTAGGAGGCATCCGGCATGTTAACAATCCTATCCTTCATCTATTCATGTTTCATTGATTTTTACATTTATCATCTCTAAGTAGCCAACTTCCCTGATTAGGAATGCTCTGAGAGATTCCAGAATATAAGCACGGCTCATGAATGCTCCAGTAGTAGTATTTCTTCAAAAAGTGTCAGGGGTAAATTAATATGAAACAATTACCTCATGCAACAGGGTTCTCAGCAATTGTGTGTTCTTGTCCATAAAATATTAAAGAAAAATAATAGCAGCTAACGATTATTGAGCGCGTGCTGGGTATTACATCCTTTGCAGTATTTTCTTTCTTTCTGTCTTTTTTTGCTGAGGAAGATTGGCCCTGAGCTAACATCTGTGACAATGACAATCTTCCTCTATTTTGTATGTGAGTCACTACCACAGCCGGGCTGTGACAAGTGGTGTAGATTTGTACCCAGGAGCTGAACCCAAGCCGCCAAAGTGGAGCATGCCCAACTTAACCACTAGGCCGTGGGGCTGGACCCATCCTTTGCTATATTTGACCTTTGTTAACAACCCTATTATCTGGACATTATTATCTTCATTTGACATATGAGGAAACTAAGAATTGATTCGATAACTCTCCCATGGCTACCCAGAAAAAGTGGAACTCAAATTTGGAAACTGGCTGATCCCAAGTTCATGTTCTTAATGCCATACTGCTTCAAAAGGAGATAACGAGGATGAAAATTTCATCTTGTTCATATATGAATTCCCAGTCAGTGTCTACCATGATGCCTGGTTCAGGAAGTTACCAAATGACTAAGAATTAAACGCAGTACAATTGGACTAGCTTATAAAGCCCTCTAATTGCTGTAGGTAGCTCATCCTTATAATAATCACTGAAACTACAGTCTCTCACTCTAATCATTACCTTAGGATATGCTCAGGTCTTTAGATTGTAAGTGCTATGACTTAATGTATGCGTGGTAGAATTTGCTGCAATGGATTTCTTTGTTACCTGGAACTAGTTACTAGGGCATGCATTCCCCATGTACTGCCACAGAGCTAACAAATTCTATCTATCCAAAAAGTAGTGGTCATTTCCTCCTGCCTCAGCCTATTGGAGGATTACTCTGGGCTTGTTCAGTGTCAGTTCTGTATCTCAGTATCAGACAAGTCTACTGTCCAGTTGGATCTGTGCAATTTTAAAATCCTACTCTATACCTTAGGCTCTGCCTATGTGAGGTCAACATGTGAGTCACCATTGTCAACCACAGCTTCAGACCCGGCACCTCTCCCTTAGACTCTCTTTCACACCACTTGATTAGCCTTTAACTTCCAGCTCTGACCTGGACTGACTTCTCTTTTGGACCATGCAAGGTTCTTGCTGCTACTCCCACACCATTGCACCTTGGGCCCCAATAACCTAACAACTCTCTTCCTGGGCTTTTGTCCCCTGTGTCTGCTCTTTTTTCTGAACTCTCAAGGCTTATATCCATTCTAAGAGCCTTTAGTTCCTTTGGGATGAGGAAAGGAAAAAATATCCAAGTAAATGTGTGTGTCAATTCTGTAGATGGATTATGTATGGCATGAATATCAGTTTAGTTATAGCCTGAGTGCCTAACGCAGAGCCTGACTCATACTAATCATTCAAGAAATTTAGGGGGAGTAAATGAATGTATGCAGAATTTCTATCCAATAGTAATCCTATCCATCTTATATGCGGAAGAATGGAGCAGAGTTCCATGCAATCAGAAGTGGCCCACTTTGGTGTTATTTCTATGTGTTACGCAGGTAAAATTTTTCTGAGTACTTAAAATATGTACTCTTTCTTTTACTTGCTGATGTCTGAAATGTCCTTAGCCTAAAAACCAGAGTTGACTGTAAATCCGTGATGTCATATTATTTCTTGGGAGTGTATATTTCTTTCCTTTGAAATAGAGAGAATAAGAGGCCTATGTGCCTAAAGGGAAGGGTAACTAATACAAAAATGAATAGTTTGGGGAATTCAAAGTAGATTTTGCTTACATCTCAATTCTGCCTGTAATTGGAGTATACAAAATTCTCTCCCTCTGTCCTTGGCAGCATTTTGGGGAATCTTTGACAGAATGACAAGTGCCAAGAACTTTAATAAATGCCCTGGAGATGAGGATGGGAGGCAGATGGTAGCTGAGGAATGAAACCATAGAGTCCAGTGAACCTCTCTCATTTAAGTCATGTGGTTCTTAATGAGATCAATTTCAGAAAAAGTATATATCTAATTAAGTTATACCCAAACACTTTCAGCAGAATATTATCATGTTAATCAATTTCCTTTCCATCTGAATTATACTAGGTCTTTCTTTTTCTTTATTATTTACTTTCTTTTTAAAACACAATTATTTATAATTCAAGTGGAGTTTTATTATGGCTCATGAAAGCTTTTGCATAGAATTTAGCATATTCATTATTCCTTATTACCATTGCCATGGAGGTCAAATTATTAATTTTAGAATCATCATGCAGCTTTAGAATATTTTGTAACATGTTTGTGCTAGGGAAATTTTATTTGATGTGTTCTTTATGAAATCATTATGTAAAAAGGACTAATCCCTTTTGAATTTTTATATCTGTTAGCATCTCTACTGAATCTAGTCAGTGTTTTACATAAAGTGAATGAGGAATATTTAAAGTATAACATATTGTTGGGAGTTTTTTGAATTTATTATGAATCTCTGAAGTTCCAAATAGTAGAAAAAAAATTTCTTGGCGATGTTGATCTAATTTGGTAGATTGATGAAGCTCCCTTAATCCCAGAAAAAATAATGAAAAGGGACAGACACCTAGACATATATCTGGTAAAATTATTGTATTTCTAAATTTAAAAAGAAAATTTTACAAGCTTCTATTAGAAAAATAATTTATAAAAGTAAAAAGTCAAAATAGCTGAGAGCTAGTCAACAGCGAAATAACATCAATATACAACAGAGAAGAAGTGAAATAACATCAATATACAACAGAGAAGAAGTGATTGGGATGAGCAATGCTGAAGTCACTCCAAATTTAAGTCCTCTGTTATGATGAAAGAAAGATATTACTGAGTGAGTAAAGAATCAGAGGGGATATTACCTATTTACCCTTCTTCACAAAGAAAATAGTCATAGCAAGGCTCTGACTGAACAACAGATCAAGCACAACAGAGATCTCTAATGGAGAGGAATGCATCTGCACTAAACCCTAAAAGTTAACCCTAAAAAGACAGTGTTAGAGTGACAGAGTGTATGCAATAGAAATGCTAAATAAGTATTCTTGGAGTAGAAGCCACAATGTATTCGGGGAAATGTAATGACTAATTGGATCACAACACGCTGAACTGATAGTGTATTCTGTGTTGGTGAGGGTGGAGGTGAGTAGTAGTAGGTGGAAAGAAACCATTCTCAAGGGCTCATCCTTGGGTGGGGAAGTAGTGAAGGACTAGAACCCGTTGCTGAGAAGAAAATAGAGGATATGTTGGAACACTTCCCTTCAGTGTGCAGGATTTGCCTTAGCATGTTTCTATAGGCAGTTCTGCTGGCAACAAATTCTCTCAGCTTTTGTTCACCTGAAAATGTCTTTAATTCATATTTGTTTTTGCATGAAAGCTTCAGTAGATGTAGAATCCTAGTTTTTTCTCCAGGACATTAAAGATGTCATTCCGTAGTTTTCTGGCCTCCATTATTTTTGAAGAAAAGTATACTTAGATTCTTACAATTGTTTCCCTCTTCATAATGGGTCTTTTATTTTTCCCTCTGGATTTTTAAAATATTTTTTCCCTTTAATCTTTGACTTTCACCAGTTTGACTGTGATATGTCTAAGAGTGTAGTCAGTATTCATAAATGTCTCACCCACGCGTGAGAGCAGTGGTTTATCCCTTCATTGTTGGATGCAGTGTTTTATATATGACCACAAATATTTCCTTCTATCCAAACAGTTACCAAAAGAGACGAACTATGTTTTTATCTCCTTCTTCAAGCAGGAATATTTTTTTTCACTGAGGCCTTTCAATGTTTCCAGCTTTATATTGAGAACTCAGTTCCAACCACACAACTTAAAGGGGCCTTTTTTTCTCACCCCATGGAGCCAATAAAACTCAGGGCTCTAGGTCCCTTTTATCAGATATCCTCAAGGGATAGATTCAGCTGTTATGTATCCCTCTTGTTTTCAGCCTCTGAGGAGTTCCTTTAGACTTTTGAAACTCAATTTTGCAATTAAAATATTTTCTGATATTTTACCCAGCATTTCTAGGTGTTTTTTGTTGGCAGGTTTTTCAGAAAATCTAATTTGCCACCCCCCGCCCCACTCCAGTTCCTTGTGTAGTTCTTGCTCATCATCTAGGCTGTAGATGAAAATTTACCTCCTCAGTGAGGCCTTCCTAAATCTGCCTAGCTGAAGTAGCCAATGCCCTCCATCCTACACACTTCGTTTTCTATCACTTGCTGAAATTAAATTATTTATATGTGGATGTGCTTACTAATTAATTTACTAAATTTAACAAATATAAAAACATTGATTAAATTATTTTTTTAAATTAACGTGGTCATTTTTTTGTCACCCTATTTACTTAGAATCCTCAAAGTACCGGGACTTTGATTCATTCATGGTAGTATTTTTAGGATTTTAAAAAGTGCCTGATACACATTGGTATTCATTGAATTCTTGTTTAAGGAATGAATTACCCAACAAACAAATGAACACACAGATAGTTGTTTATCAAAGGGTTTTATTTGATATCCTCAAATAAGACAGATCATTAATTATTTGACAAACTTTAGAGTTAACATAAGGGTTAGGATTAAAGCTAAAATGTTAAGAATACCTTTATTAATAAATTAGAAATAAATATGTCAATCAGGTTAAGGAGCCAATCTTAAAACTATGTGCAATTAGTTTCATGCAAATAAAATACCAATAAGAGACAAAGTTATGGTGCATCAGAAATTGACAACTTGGCAGAGAAAGTCAATCTGCAAAGAAGTGAATTGAGCAAAGGTGCAGAGAGAAGCACCAATGAGATGCTCCATGGAGAGAGACTGAGGGCAGATTAAGAAAAATACCAGGTGACTTTCCTTTTTCCACTGGAATTGGGGTTACTTCTTACATGTGGGTTCTGTTACATTTTTCTAGTATGTTTTCAATAAAGGTGGTTTGAGAGTTTCTATTTCTTTCAACAAAATATTCTGTATTTTATAAAAATTGACCAAGTTACATAGTTTGTGAAATTTGGCAATAATTGAAGAAATAGCTTCAGATTTCTTTTGTTCTCAGGGCTGATTGACATGGCTTGCATTGCATAGTAAAATGTCACTTACTCATAGCAAAACTACTCAACAGAGATGGGCCTGCCCTAGCAAGAAGAGAGGTATGTGTTTGTTTCCCTGTGCTTGTATTCCTAATTGAGATCATGAGCCCCGTTTATACTCTATCAATAATGTAAGCAGTAGAAATGAGATAACTGGGCTAAAATTTCCAATTTATTTAAATGATATTTTAATAGCATTTCTGCTGTTCAGGTGGGGCTGAATCATGCAGTGCTTTGTAGGGCATGGTGAAGACTGGATTTTATCTACTTGAAATGAGACATCATCGAGAGTTTGAAGTTGGGAGTGACGTGATCTGATTTATTTTATAACAACATCGCTGGGAGTGGAGAACTGATTGGAGGAAGACAGGAGTAGATGCAGTGAAATCAGTTGGGGAGCCTTTGCCATAGTCAAGGCCAGGTTCATAGTTTAGAGTATTATTTTAGCAATGAGATAGAGATATATTTTGAAGGTAGAACCAATAAGATTTATTCTAGAATTGGATGTGAGGGAAAAAAAGGAGTCAAGGATAATTCTCCGCTTTTTATTTTTATAACTGTGAATTGTGAGTGGCATTTATTGAGAGGGGGAGGAATAGAAGAATAGCTTGGGGGAAAAATAGAGTTTCAAAAAATCAACGAGGTTGTTATATAAATGTGATGGTTAATTTCATGTGTCCACTTGACTAGGCTAAGAGATACCAAGATAGGTGGTAAAACTTTATTTCTGGGTGTGTTTGTAGGGGTGTTTCCAGAAGATATTCACATTTGAATCAGCAGACTGAGTAAAGAAGATTGCCCTCACCAATGCAGGTGGGCATCAACCCATCCACTGAGGGACTGAATAGAACAAAGACATGGAGGAAGGACAAATTTACCATCTGCGTGAGCTGAGACATCCATCCTCTCTTGCCCATAGATGTCGGCGCTTCTGGTTCTTGGGCCTTTGGGTTTGGATTGGAACTACATCACCAGCTTTCTTGGGTCTCCAGCTTGCTGACAGCAGATGGTGGGATTCCTCAGTCTCCATAATTACGTGAGCCAATCGCTCATAATAAATCTCTTTCTATATATCTCCCCTCATATCTTATTGGTTCTGTTTCTCTGGAGGACTCTGACTACTACCATAGGCAAGTGGATATTCAAGTCTAGAACTGAAAGACCATGCCTAAGTGGATAAAAACTTGGAAATCATCAGCATATAAATGATACTTGAAACGACAGACTGGATGAGATCACCTCAGAGTCAAGTCTAGAGAAGAGAAAGAGACCCAGGATGAGACCTGATGATATTATTCAAATCTGTATCTTAGCTTTCTTTTCAGTTTCATTGATCTTATTATTATGATAGTAAGATAGTATTTTAATTATAATAGCTCTATAGCAAGGCTTTATACCTATGAAAACAAATCATTACCTATTACTTTTCTTTTTAAAGTATTTTTGCATTTCTTCCCATCTATACTTTCTAACATATAAACTTTTGTATCACTTTACAAAATCAAAAACTTCCTTTTTCTATATGATACTAGTTATGATTGTGAAAGTTGGGTATAAAATGCAATAACGTTGACATTTATTTGATATCACTGACAAACAATTTTTGAGCTAGGCAAGTTATTAGAGCTTCTCCAGCCTATCAAGATGAGGATACTTATGGGGACTAGGACTGGGTGAGTGGTCAAGAGATAGCCTGGAGGGACAGATTTCATTCTGGGGTTGGCGAAGGGGAGGAGGCACACAAATTGGGAGCCATTGGATAGACATTCTGGCAAATCTTTGGCAGTTAACACTGCCCTACTCCAGATAGTGCCAAAGCAAATGGAATATTTGGAACCATTAAAGGAAAATTCCATCATTTACATTCAAATTACAAGGAACTTGGTTAAATTTGTGCACTATGACTATTTCTGATAATAGGTTTCAATTTTTACTTTTACTTTTTAAAAGCCCCAAATGTCATCCAAACTCAGTGGATTAGAAAATATTCAAGCTTTAGAAAAGTGATACAGTCAATTTTTAACTCATTTTAATATGTAGTATTGTGTTTAGGTGACGTTTTCTCTGTTCTCATGAGGGGACTCTCCTTTTCCAGCCTCATTTCTCCCAACTTGAAATTTGGAGCGTAATTTTCAAAGGAGCTATTTGTGATTTTGCAAGTTCTTCTCACTCTCCCTTTCGGTGCCTTTGTGCCTGTAGCTTTCTCCTTGCCTTGCTCCTTTCCCCTCTTCTTTTGTCTGGCTAACACCTACTCATCTCTCAAAACCCAACTCAGAGATCACATTCTTTATGAAGCTTCTATGCCTTTTTCTGTTCTAGTGCCTTTTTTGTGTGCTTCCCAACTGTCCTGTATTATCTCTGTCACAGCATTTATGACAATGTATTGGAATGTCTATGTACTAACCTTGGACCTTCACTAGAATGTGACCTCTTAGAAACTCCAGGAGGGTCTCTTTGATCTCTGCATCCCCAGCACCTAGCACAAGACCCAAGAGAGATCGGACACTCACTAAATATTTGTTGAATCAATACACAGCCAATCTGTCTTCTTAAGAAGAATTCCACTTACGAGAAGAAAGAAGCTTTCTTCAAATTTCACACTTTAATAGGACACATAACTCTGAAATATGAAAAAGAGATTTATGAATGTACGGGTTGAATGCATTAGCTTGAAATTCATTTTCTCCTGTCATCAACATGGAACCATTTCGAAGAGAAGTAGATGTCAGAAGCTTATGGAATGTGAATAGGATAGCCATATAAAACCTTATTTTTTCCAGGTTCTAAAGCTGCTGATAGATTTTAGAACTGAGAGGCTTGGAGCAGTGGAGAGAGTGTCACGCTCTTCAGGTAGACGTAGCTCGAAAATGTGGTCCCCAGGACACACTCCTCGCAAAAAAGACATCTTTTTCACAATCTGGAAAAGACGTTTTAAATTATCTGAGGCCAAAGGTGTGAAAAAGAGCCTCCAAGCAGAGAGAAAATAAATGATCTGCTTCACTGTTGAATCTAGTGTTCTCAGGAAATTGAAACTTGAATTTCGTCTAAATATAAAGCAATGGCAGAGCAGACCTTCTTGCTTTTCATTCTCTGGCTTTTTGTCAGGTTGTGTTGGAAGAGAGAATCTCTCATTATGTAACAGAATTTCCCCTAATGGAGCCTGCGGCAAACTTGAAACCATACTTTGGTATATTGGAGAAAAATAGGAACAGTATTTTTTTTTTTAACTCAGAAAAAGTAGTACATTGTCCCAATTAAGTTCATAGAGTAATAGAGTAGCAAGGCTAGCAGGAAATTTCAGTATCTTTTAATTCAACTTATTGATTTCACAAATGAGGAAACATTAATAGAGTGAAGTAACTTGATCTCAGAACCTTGATATTCTGAGGGCATAGATAGGTAAACAAATAATACAAAGCATGGTAAAAATACTTGATAGAATTGATTGAAAATAAGTCAATGTTAGTTACTAGCACTGTACTTTTATTTTGTGTGGGAAATATCTCCTTATCTGTGATGGCAATCATCAAAATGTCCCTCCTTGTTAATGATAAATGCTATTTTGGCACATGTATACATGGAAAGCAGGGTTCTGTTGAATTGAATGTCCAGTCTCTTGAAAAATCGATAAAGGCAGTGAGTTAGAAAATGGAGAAAATATACAGATGACCCAGTTGTAAGTTCCGAGGAGCACTGAGACCTCGTCATATAACCCCTACCTTTGTGATTGATGATGCTGTAAACAGTCCCAGAGAGTGACACTATTTCCGCAATTACTGGAGCAAATGTCATAACCTCCTCCAGTCGGGAAATCCTCCTTATACTCACTGTGTACATAAAGCCATTTATGCTTACAGATAGTCATATAATTTCTAACAAAAGCAAAATATTTTTAATGACTAAGGATGATAGAATTTCGTTTGTTATAAAACTCTTTCACATAATTGCCCTTTTTGGTCCCCATAAAAGCCCAGTATAGTACTTACATTTTCCACATTCTGCATGTGGAATCTTAAGGCTGATAGGTTAAATGACTTGCCTAAGAGTTGCTGAGGGCTGAAATCATTGGCAGTGGAGACAAGGGGAGGGCGGGTTAGCCAATACTTGCCCATGGGAAAGAATGGGGAGTCTTGGATTCCAGATGATGACGGATGTTTGGCAACATTGGCCACTAATACTCTTAAGACGATTTTTTTTAAAAAGAGGAATTAATTTTTGTATCTAAATGGGGAGCCTATTATATACTTGATATTTTCCTAGGTATTTTGAAGGTTACTGTATTTATTTCCACAGTGAATCTTCTGTATAATTAAAGCAAGCTGATACAATTTCAACAATAGTTCTTGGCTGAAAGAACCACAATCTGAACAACTTGGTTCCATAGAGATTTAGGTTAAATAAAAAAATTAGTTATTTGTTTTTATACACACACACACAATATGTATCTATACAAAGGCAGCCTAATGAAGTGGTTGTATACACAGGTTCTGAGCTAGGTAGACCCATCAAATCCCAAATCAGCTGTTTACTAGTTATTGGGCCTAAACAGCTGTGTGACCTTGGACAATTTCTGAGTCTCAGTTTCTTCATCTACAAAATAGGAGTAAATAAAATTCTTGTAAGATTGTAGTGGGAATTAAATGAGATAGTTTTTATAAAATGTTTAGCATATTTTCTAGCATGCAATAATCTCAATAAATATTAGCAATGATAACATATATATGATATACAGTTCCAAAAATAGATTTGAGGCAGCTATAAATATTCATTAAATAATAGTTTATTCATACAACTTAATAAGTATGTGAAGAAATTGAGGAGATGAGGAATAAGAGGACAATGAATAAAATATCGACAATCAGATTAGCACATAATAATTGTGACAAAATGCCCTGGACATTGCTCTATGTAAGCCAGAAATACTGCTCCAAGCTTCATAGAAATTAATGCACAGAGGAAAACAAAGTTAATTAAATTTTTTCATGCCCTCAAATAAAACTAAAACAACACTTTAGGAGAATCCTAGCTTTCTCTAGGCTGACCAGTTTTGTGGACACTGTGACACTGTAAACAAGGTCTTCAACATCTGCCCAATGAATATAAAAATAAATTCTCATTTCTTACATGTTGATGTAAACAAAGGCATAACACCAAAGTATAATTCAGTAAAGCAGTTTCATGTGTGAGGGAAACATATGACATCTGCATAACTCTCTGATGGCCTGGCTTAATCCAATCTTGGCCCCGAATTTAGGGTACTTAGAGTTATAAATGAACTCGACTCAGCTAATCTTCCATAAATATTATTTATTAAAGCCACCTTTTTGAGAATATATTGCCCAGAACAGAATGAAAATTATACTTTCTGGGAAGTATCTGGGAGTTAGAATTTTTTGGGCCAATTATGAAAGATCCATAAACTTTAATTGTTAAATGAGTTGAAAGTTGGGTTGATATTTACTTATTAGATGTCTAGTCACATGACATGCCACCATAAATCAAATAGAGAGATACATTATCTTTTTTTAAACTCAAATTTTCCAAAACCTTAGAAGTTTTTATTAAGACAACAAATGTGATAAAACTATAAGCTCCATGAAGGAACGAACTCTATCTTCTTTAGAGCTTTATCCCCAAACCTACAACACTCCCTTACACAGTGGAGATAAAAGATGGTTTTTATTTTTAAATAATAAGGAAAGAAATAGATGGTACAATGGGTTCAAAAGAGAATCTGAGGAACAGACAAATGTATAGGCATCAAGACCTGAAAAGAACTTACAAATAGATGCAAAACTGTGGACACTAGTCAATATCCAAAGAGAAATAATTAATTGCATTCCACCAGATACAATTAGCACTTCCATGAACAAGAATCATTTGCATTACTATCAGTTTTCTACAAATTAGTTGTAAAATAGCCCAAATACAACGACAGGCTGAGATAACCTTGAAATGTGTGCTAGACAGGAAAGCCAGTAATCTTTTTGGTCTCTTTTACAATTTGTCCCTATGGTAGGCACTCCAAAATATTTTTAATGAGCTAATCATACATACTGATTAAATAATGTGTTTAAATTGGATGTACCATATAAAGAAATATTTAAAGAAATATAAATACAAAGCTATAATTTTTACCTTTCCTCACTACTCTTAGTGCTGTAACTATAAATTGTTTTCTTAACCTGGCTTGAAATAGGTAAGCTTGGTCCTTCTTTTGTTGACTTGTGTCAAATTCTTCTGTGCTTATAGCTATTTCTTTGGGCCTTTAGAGTCATCTCTTTTTTCTGCTACAGGTGCTCTCCTCAGAGGAGTATGTTACTTATTATAAGCTTTCTTTAACTGCTGACAGTAGTTAGCTCTCTTTCTAACTACTCAATTTCTGCTTACCTCTTTTTCTGAAAGAGGGGAGAAAAAGGGGGAGAAAAGTCAAAAGTACTGGTGGCCTTGGGACTTACAATTGGTGCCTGAAGTGAGGGTAGTCTTGTGGGGCTAAACCCTTAAACCTGTGGAGTATGAAGCTAACTCCAGGTAGTTAGTGTCAGAATTGAATTGATCATTGGACACCCAGTTGGTGTCCAGAGAATTGGAGAATTGGTTGTTGGTGTTGGAAAACACCCTATATAACTGTTGAGCAGAGAGAGTTGTGGAGAAGCCAAAGGAGTTAGAAGAAACCCAGGAGATCATTGTCTGGTGGAAACCAAGAGAGAATTTTCTAAGGAGGAGAAATGGTTACCAGTGTCAACACAGCGAAGAAGTCAAGTAAGAAAAGGCCTGAAAAATATGAATTGTATTTAGTACTGATACCGGCCCTGATATTGGTTCCCCTACGTTAAATCCAGCATACATGGGGTTAAAACCAAAAGCACCCTTTCCCTTCTTCTTTAGTTACATTTGCATGTAAATAGTGGTTTCTTTAACCTTTGTCTCCCTGAGCTTCACAAAGTAGAAGTTACAAATTGCTAAAGCCCAGGTGGCTTTATGTTGGGCTCACACTGAAGTTTTGGCTAATTATGGGTCCTTGAAGTTTATCACAGGGAAACTGATGTCTAGAGAATATCCAGAAACTGAAGCTTCCCAGACCCCACTCCTTGGCTTCCTGGTGCCAGAGTCCACCTTTCATCATGGAGGCAGACCACCACAGACATCCACCTGTAGATTCCCTTATCTTGCCATCCCCTCTTCCTGCAAGCAGCCTCACAAGGCCAAATGCAGGCTAGTAGGAAGTTGCCAACCAGCAAGGCCTTATGCTCCCCCTCCCCTGCCTAAAACCCCAAATAAAAACCTCTATCTTTTTCCTTTCCACAAGGTGGATCTGAGTTTTAGCTCCCATCTCCTTGCCTAGCTACTTTTTGATAATAAAAACCCCTTTTCTTGCCATAAGCCTGGCCTTCCATGTTTTTATTTTTGGCCCCCCTTGTGTGGTGGGTAAAGGAACCTGTGTTTGTGCTCAGTAACAGTAACACCTTTTGAAAGCAATTCCAGGGAAAAGTCAGGGCAAGAATGGGGTAAGGATAGGGGGCAGTACATAAAAAGGGGCTTGAGGAAAACCAGATGCAATGAATTACAAAGTGACTTCGAAAGGAGGAAGTGAAATGTGCGTAGTGCATATAAACTTTTTGACTCTTTAATTCCAAACAAGAATTCCAGGTTGTCTACACATTTTATTTATCATTCTAGGAAAACTCAGTATTTCGTTCTTGCTTTAGATTGCTGTGACAAAATTACACAGGTAGCACAAGGCAGAGAAGATGGGATATGAGCCTAGATCTACAGGACTACAAATCTGCTCTATTTTTAACCACAACAGAAAAGCCGTATCTCTCTGTCCTAGAAAATTCTCTAATTCAGAACCTCTTATTCTCTCAAGACACTGGATAACTGAGATAATTTTGTAGGAGTCTCTTGGGTCACAACACAGTAATCCAATTTAGCCAGAGCTAAATGGTGGCTCCTTTATATACTTGGGACCAATCTTTTTCTTTTCTTCAAGTCACTTCTTGTAACGCTATTTTTGAGTTATCTTGGAGAAGAAAATTGACTCTAAATGCCTAATATAGTTTCAAAATTTCATAAACTTTTAATAGACCTCCAAAAACAGTTTTATTTTTTTTTTATAAACGTCCTGTCCCTGATACCACAAATGAGAGATTAGATACAGCTGATTCATGAAACACAAAAGTTTGGGGCAGAGATAATTTAATGAAGAAAATCTTCCACGGGGATTGAAAATCCAGTGGCTCATGGCTATACACAAGTTCACTACAAGAAGACATAAAAATACCAAAATAATTCATTTCCACAATGCTCCTATTTATCTGAACTCAGCTTCGTGTACCATAGTAGTAATTAATGCAGAAATCACAGAAATTGCCTGTTAGATGGCAGCTCTCTGACTCTTTGTGCTAATTAATTGCTTAAAAAAAGGCATTTGATTAACATCCATTCTTCACAAATGTCAAGTTAGAACAGCTACTTTACTTAAATCCAAGTCATCCATGCACAGAGCCACTTGAGATGGAGAGGATGTTTTTGTTCCTTATTTTTTCTTGCTAATTAATATGAATTGGGACCATTGAGGTTTAATTAGCTCAAAGTATGCATTTTGTTTTTTGTAAATAAAAAATGTTTTACCATTTTTAAATCATGAGTGGATTTCATCCATAAACCTTTACTACTTGGAAAGGAAAAGGAAACCTTAAAATCTAAGGTGCAAAAGCACTAATATGAGAGAAAACCAGTAATCGTTTCAACTTATGGTTGAAGCTAAGGCAGTGTCTTCCAGTGGAAATGCAAAGGCAGCATATTCTAGTGGCTAAGCCATTTTTTATTTTTGACATGAACCACCATAGTTTATGGCAGTTTTTGAGATTGGCAAAATGCATATAATTTTAAGGTAGAAAGGATTTCACAATCCTTTTAGTGCATTGCTTCCCAAAATAAAGTCTACAAACTGAGGGGGTGGTATGTGTAGTATATCAGCATGGGGTATAAGAGTTAGCTAAGAGAAATTTTTAACTGTTTATTTTCATTTTGCTGATGATCTCTAATGTAACATAAGTGTATTTAAGATCATGAGAGGGCCTTCTGTATAGCTTCCTAATTTCAGTGATCATACTTGCCTTTATGTTTCCGACACTACGCCCACCAAAGAAATCTCTAATGATATGATGCACCCATGAATGAATGTGGCACAGCAGAGCAAATTCATAAAATAGTAGGACATTGACTCTTCATGAAGAATGCACAACAGATGAACCAAACTCAAAAGAGCCTACATCATTTTATTCTGAACCGTTACCTGGTGAGGGAGAAAGCTTTAAAAGGATATCAGTGAGAACTTTTTACAGTGGTCAATAGAGGATTGTTTGCCACCTGGGTTTTAGTTGAGAATGAGAGCTGATTGTCCGGAGCTAGCAAAAAAGCATTGAAGTTATTAATGACAATTTGTAGAACGTATTTAAACAATAGGAACAATGGCATTCTCTGAATTTGTATTGCTGACATTAAAACACAGGAAGAGACTAAATAAAGAACCAAGACTGGGGCTACGTCTTTCTGCTTTTAAATCCAACCTCAGCACTTTAGCTTCAGAAAAAAACAAATGTCACATTGCATTAATGTTGTAAATTCAAATTTTATTTTTGCTTTGGCTAATCTAATTGGAAAGTTGCTCAGCTTTTATAGTTTTATTAGAGCTAATCACATAAGGATTCCATAAGTATCTTACTATCTGAGCATATTTAATTAATATTAAAAGTGATTTTGGTCAACAACAGGAGTCTGGAAGAAATGTTTCCTTTTAAATGCATCTGTGGCTGAGAGAGGATTGTCTGCCAAATGATCCATTCGTTCTCTGTCTTAGATGGGGTTTCCTACACGCAGAGCCAGGGACCGGGATTTTTGTGCAATGATTTATTGAGGAAGTGATTTCAGGAGAACAGAGGGAGTGAGAGAAGGATAGGGCAGGGGAAGGAGCTAAGCAAGGATCTGGTCTCAGCTGGAGACCATCTGGAACCAGTTTGGTTCCACTGGAAGCTATGGAGCATGAATTTCATCACAGTTTATCCGTCCAATGTCAGCATGAGTTGCTGCCCCCTGGAGTTATTATAGTGGCTCCCTTTAGGGGAAGGGAAATAGCTGTGAACTGCTAACAGCTGCTAAGGCATGAGAGCTGGAGGATGGATGGTGCAGCCCAGTAAAGTGGATCTGGGCAGAGCAACCATGAGGCCCCCTACAGTACTTGCCCTGAATGCTCAGATCTGATTGCTTCTCAAATTAAGCAAACTCCATCCAGCACAGCTTTTCCAGGGTTCTGAATGGTCAATGTTCTGGGAAAACTTACAAGAAGAAGGTTATTTAGACAAACTACAACTCCTGCTGCTGGTGCAATTGGCCTCAAGATACTCATTATCAGCCTCCTCTACCACCTGTTCCAGACACCCCTCTGCCTTGGGTAGCACCTCTGCTGGACTAGTTGGCTTGCCTGTGGCATCTGAGATTCTGGTTGCCATGCTTTCATCAGCTCGTGGTTATTAGACTTTCTCATTATAGAAAAATTGGTCATGGAAATACAAAGAGACAGCCCAATGAATCACCCTGCTTGCATTATCTAGAAGTACTTTATTTCCTCATGATGAACAGAGTCAATTACCCCTGCTGGCTTTTGGTAGCTGCTTTTTGTCTGATGGTCTCCTGGCTTGAGGAGCCCAAAGTGACCAGGAGTTAGTCATAACTTCAAGTTTATTGGGACGCTCCTGTATCTCCTGGTGGAAGCATCCACCCTCTAAGAACCAGGACCCACAGAGCCTAAAATTGCAGAGTGGGGAAAGACAAGTTCCCCAAGTGGGATACTGAGAGTGATGATGAGTGGGCCCACTCCTACGTCCACTCCTTTGTTCCCAGACTTTGCATACTAGTTACTGGGGCCACAGCACTATTAATGTCCATTGGCTTAGGGTATATACAGCATCCTGAAGAAGAGCTCTCCATCCTTGCAAAGTGTATTCTTCAAGGTGGAGCTTCAACTGAGTCCTCAAGAGGATTTTCCACCAGTCTGTCAAGTCAGTAGCTTATAGGTGATCCAGTATATGGTGGGATCAATAAATAGAGCCATGGCTATGTGCCACCACTACGC